AGCCTAGAAAACCCTACGAGGCAGTTCTCCTCTGTCACATGGTGTTGCTAGGAGTCAAAATCAACTTGACGGCACGTAACAATGGCCACCACCAACCCCCCAAACCCTGAAACTCCTCTCCGAGGGTCTGTAAACTTTTTCCGTAAAGGACCAGGTAACCTTGCCATGGTAGCACAAAGCAGCCAGTAAACCAAAAACCAAACGCACTGCCATCCAGCTGATTCCAACTCATCACGATCCTACAGGACAGAGTAGAACTGCCCCATGGGGTTTCCGAGAAGCGCCTAGTGGATTTGAACTGCTGACCTTTTGGTTAGCAGCAGAGCTCTTAACCACTGTGCCACCGGGGTCCCAAAGCAGCCACAGACAATATGAAAACAAACGGGTGTGGTTAAGTTCCAATAAAACTCTATTTACAAAAACAGGTGGAGGGCTGGGCTGGGCCTGTGGGCTCCTGCTGCAGACTCCTGCTCTTCTCCAATGATGACTTCCCTGTGTTTCTACCACTTGTACTCCTTACTCTACGGAACATGCTCTTCACGTGACCCTACTGTGGCTGCCCGTCGGCCACTCCTCATTCTTCCCTGTTCTAGCTTCACCCACATCCTTACCCAGCCTGGATCTCATGGTCAGATCCCTTCTCCACCCAAGGCCCGCTGTCCTCTTTCCTGTCCCAAAGCTTCTAAATGGCGCTGGGAAGGACGGGACTCATGCTGAGGCCCATACGAACGTCTCCTCTTGACCTCACCTGGGTCTTCACTACCAACTATCTGGAGGTCACTTCAGTGCCACAGACATTCACTGGCTCACTGCGGATGGAACCCTCTTTGAAAATTCTCTTCCCAGGAGTTGGGTGACATAGCACCAAAGGTCTCCTCTCACCTCTTTTTCCTTCTGTCTGTCTCCTTCCCTTTCTCTACCCCTCACATATAATCAGACCCCAAGGTTTTGTCTAAGGACTTGTTCCTATACATTCTGTCCCCGAGTTGGTTTCATCCACTTCCCCGACCTAACCCAGTCCCCTTAAGCAACAGCGCTCCCATCTCTTATCTCCAGCCACCACCTTGTACTGAAGCTTAAGATCTGAATTTCCAAATGCCTGGACTGACTGTCCACTTAGATATCCTGCCATTACCTCCATCCCCACATATTCTGGGCCAAATTAATCATCCTCCTCAAACCCAGCTCCTTCTCCTGCCCTTCTTATTTCTGTTCACGGCATCACTCTCCCCCTGGTTGTTAAGGCTGGAACCCGAGTCGCCTTTGCCGCATGGCTGCCTGCGTGCCTCCTTGTCTCAAACGTGTAATCAGGCAGTGGCCCAACCTTGTCTGGTCTACTACCCCTGCATTTTTTCTCACATGTGTCTCTCTCCAGTTCCCGCCCTCGTTAGCTCTCACCTGGGCGACTGCAGGATACCCTGGTGGCGTAGTGGTTAAGAGCTACAGCTGCTAACCAGAAGGTCGGCAGTTCGACTCCACCAGGCACTCCTTGGAAACTCTATGAGGCAGTCCTACTGTGTCCTATAGGGCCGCGATGAGTCGGAATCGACTTGATGGCAATGGGTTTTTGGGGTGACTCCAGGAGTCTCTAATCTTTTCAACCCTTGACATTCCAATTCAATGCTGCTGCCACCGATCACAACTCTGACCCCTTCCTTACAGACCTCCTTAACGCCTTGGCTTTCAGAGACCTCTGACTCCCACCTCGCCCAGCCTATGGGAGTTTCCTCTCCTGGAACGTCTTCCACTCAGCCCTCACCACTTAACCCACTTTACCTTTTACCGGAGCTCCTGGACTCCGACTCACAGTGACTCTACAGCACAGAGCAGAACTGCCCCACAGGGTTTCCAAGCAGCGGCTGGTGGATTCCAATGGCTCACCTTCTGATTAGCAGCCATAGCTCTTAACTACTGCGCCACCAGGGCTGTGTGTATGTGTCTGTGTGTCTGTGTGTGTGTGCGTTTGTGTGTGTGTATCTGTGTGTGTGTGTCTGTGTCTGTGTGTGTCTGTGTGTGTGTGTCTGTCTGTGTGTGTCTATGTGTGTGTATCTGTGTGTGTGTGTCTCTGTGTGTGTGTGTGTGTGTGTACATATACACATAACCAAAAAAAAACCCGCTACCACTGAGTTGATTCCAACTCATAGCGACCCTACAGGACAGAGTGGAACTGCCCCACAGGGTTTCCAAGGAGCAGCTGGTAGGTTCAAACCACCGACCTTTTGGTTAGCAGCTGAGCTCTTAACCACTGTGCCACCAGGCCTCCAATATACATATACATATAAAAACCACATTTATTTTACTTTAAATCATAGCACACACAGATAGCGGTGTGTCTGAAAGGTGACTAACAATACTGGTCCTATAAATGATACTCAGCTCTCTCCTCCCGATACATGCAGCATTAATGGGGGGCTGCTCCGTGGGGGCAAGGACCATGCTTCCACCACCTTTGCATCCCCAGCCCCTGGCACAGAGTTGACCCTGAACCAGCGTTAGCGACCATACGAAGACGCCCGCACGAGCAATCGCATCCTCCCTCGCTCCCCCGGCTGCACACAGTACCTCTCCGTACAGCCAGGGGCAGAGCTATCAGTGTGCAGGGTGCGTGTCCAGCCCCCAGAGCTCCGTTACAGGGACTTCAGGGGTTTCCTGACTTGCTCTCTGAGTGACCTTGGAAAAAGAACTTTGTTTCAAAGTGTCTAAGGTCAGTTTCCGAGGCATCCTGGTGGCGCAGTGGTTAAGCACTTGGCTGCTGATCAAAAAGGTGGTGGTTCGAACCCACCAGCACCTACACAGAATGACCTGAGGATCTACCCGCTCCAGTAAAGATGACAGCCTAGAAAACCCTATGAGGAAGTTCTCCGCGGCGAGACATGGAGTCGTTATAAACCAAACCTCAACAGCACCAAACCACCACAAAGTCAGTTTCTAGATAAACGTTTTCTAGATTTAAACTGAAACCACTCGGCCAAACCTGGAAATACTTCAATGTCCATGTATAGAAGAGGAATTGAAAAATTATGATACATTCATGCTATGGAAGAGTATTCACCATTTCTTGTTGTTAAATGGGTTAGATGTATTCGTATTAACCTGGAGAAAATTTAGGAATGATGTAATGTTAAACGGAACAAGAACAGCAAGCTGCAGAGTAACGTATATGCTAGAAGCCCTTCTTTCCTGGTAAAGAAAAGGAAAGAACCCACGAGTGTGTGTGTGTGTGTCTGTCTGTCTCTCAGAATGAACACAGAGAAAAGGAAGACGGCAAGGCAACATGAATCTGTTAACAATGGTTATTTTAGGGAAGTAGGATTAGAGGAAAAGATTATTAACATTTTCTTTACACCGCTAAACCCATAGCTATCCAGATGATTCCAACTCATAGTGACCCTACAGCACAGAGTAGAACTGCCCCGTAGGGTTTCCAAGTCTCTGAATCTTCACGGAAGCAGACTGCCACATCTTTCTCCCACTTATACCCCCTAACACCCCTTAAAAGCCAAACAAACCACCACTTGAGAACAGCCATGTGGATACACACGGAACACAGGAGAGAACAAGAAAGGAAGACATCCACGGTGATTTCCCAAAGCTCTCAACAGTGCCCCGCCCCTCGTCTATCTACTATGCAAACGAGGGAACAGTCATTTGACATTCAGTGTCCACACAATTTCACTCTAATTTCGTCTCACATACTTAGGACCAAAAGACGAGCCCCCGGGGCTGCCAAACAGGCTCCAAACGGTATACAAAGAAATCCTTTTCCTTCAGTTTAGGCCCTGGTGGCGCAGCAGTTAAGACTACACGTGCTAACCCAAAGGTTGGCAGTTCGAATCCACCAGCTGCTCCTTGGAAATCCCATGGGGGCAGTTCTACTCTGTTCTACAGGGTCACTGTGAGTCACAATCGACTCGATGGCAATGGGAATCCTTTTAAGAAGTGCTTGGGTGGTGTAAATGGTTAACACACATGGCTGCTAACCAAAAAGTTGTGGGTTCAAGTCCGCCCACAGGTACCTCAGAAGAAAGGTCTGGTGATTTACTTCTGAAAAATCAGCCACTGAAAACCCTATGGAGCACAATTCTACTCTGGCACATAGGGTCGCCATGAGTCAGCTTTTTAAAATCTGTAAGAATAATTTACATACAGAATCAAAATTTACCTTTTTTAGTGTACAATTCTTTGACAAGATCATACAGCCTTAAAACCACCACCATAATTAACATTTCCATTTCCCCACTTTGCTGTCAATCTCTTCCCCCAGCCCCCAGCAACCACTGGTCTGTTTCTGTTGCCATCCCACAGCTGGCTCTGCTGTCTCCAGAACGCGGGGTAAACGGAATCACACAGAATGCAGCCTTTTGAGTCTGGCCTCTTCTGCTTAGCTACGGCACTTGAGGTTCATCCGTGGAGTTGCCAGCACCGTCCTTCGTTCCTTTTTACTGCTGAGCAGCATTCCATTTTTGTATGGACGTTATCCCAGTTTATCAATTCAGCTGCTGAAGGACATGTCGATTTTTCCAGTTTTTAGTAATTATGAATAACGCTATCAACTTTCTCCTGCAGGTTAAGGGCTACTTACAATTTCCCCAAAGCTCAGGAGGTGGAAAGCGTGGAGAGTGGAGGGCTCCTCAAAGGAAAGAATGTTCTCCACGAGGCTAAAGGGGAGGGGGCAGCTGCCAGGGAGAGGGGGTCTCTGCTTTCAGGTAGCCTCAGGCCTGGCTCCTCAGACCCGGCTGCCTTTCCCCACGAGCGCTCCTCCACGCAACGCTCAGTGCAGCAGAGTAATTGGCATGATACAAATTCCTGGAACAGCCGCTTTACTTGGCAAGAAAAAGAACAAAATGAAAACACTTGAACACAAGGCGCATATGCCATGGACTAAAGCACAAAATTCACGGGTTTCACGTGACGCTGTAAAGCCCAGTCCAGGGCTCCAGAGACAGTATCCCCGTCCAGAGGGGGTCCCCACGGACCTGCGTGGCCGGCGGCCCGCTCACCTGTCGCCAGATCACCTGCCACGGGTCCATCATGCCGCCCGAGGCATCTCCCGCCCGCCGGCCGGCAGCACACCCTCGTCCCCCGCGCTGGGCCTGCAAACCTCCGGCAGCGGCAGCGGCAGCGGCAGCGGCCCGGGCGGGCTCCCAACTGCTGCTTCACCTAAGCAAGGAGGCACCTGGGGGCCGGCGGGCCAGGAAATGCCTCCCCGGGGCCGCCCTGCGAGCTGGGCCGCGGCTCCGAAGATGGCTCCGCTTCAGTTTCGCTTTCGTTTCCGCAGAAAGCCTTCCCCTCTAGAAACTTTGCCCAAGAGGAGGAGTTTAGGCAAATCCAGGCGGGAGCTGACGGTTTCACGGGGATGACCCATCTGATCCCTTTCTTGCCTAAGAGGAGGGAACGTAGCCTTTCTTTAGGAAAACAGCTATAAATACAGCTTCACTGAGCTCCTAATTCCCCTCCCAGCCCTCTCAGGACTACACGGGATAAAGCAGAAGGAAAACAAAGACACAGCGAGACCTCAGCCCTGGAGAAGCAGCAGGCGGCTCACTCGCCCCTCGCCCAGTCCGGGCTTTAAAGAGGGAAGCGGGTGGGAGGGACAGCTCTTCAACGACTAAGACTTACTTGCCCCGTAGACTTACTTATCAACGTTTCTAGCATATTATAAACTGATGTAAAGGGATACCAGCCAGTAAAATGTAGGCAGATAATGATAACAGCAGTGCACAGTTTAGGATCTGTAATATAAAACCACCTCCGGCCACCAGCACCACCGCCATCTATCCAGGCAAGAGTTAATAAGTACTTCACAGACATTCTCTCTTTAATCCTCACGACGGCCAGCTCTACGAGGGAGGCGTCATTCCCACGTTACAGACGTGCAAAAGGAGGCTTGTTTACCGTTACACTGCTGTTGCATCCAGGTCTGACTGGGGGACGCCCACCCTTCACTCTGCCTTCCTCCTAGTTAGAGTTAACGCTGTTACTTTAAAAAAGAACCAGCGTTTAAATTATTTCAAATTCCATGTCAGGGTCCACTTTTGTTATTTTGAGGGAAAAATTTCAATTTATTTCATGATCAAGTTTATATAACTGCTCGTGTTTAAGATATCCAGGAAAACATTCTACAGGCAAGTCCAGTGCTCAACAGCCCTCCCAGTTATCTGTGAGAAATTCATTTTTCTGCGTTTAATCTCAATTTTATCCCCACTGTCTATGAGGTTTACAAGGCAGTCCCTTCACAGCATCATCTCCAGCTGATGCCTTTCTCCACTACCCTCTCATCCCATCCATCCTGTTACCAACCAATCAACCCATCTCCACTTTCCTCATTCCATCTACTCAGTTACCAACAACCAACCAATCTCCACTGCCCTCTCATTCCATCT